CCCTAACACTAACCCTAACGCTAACCCTAACGTCCTAATCCTAAACTTAGTTTATTTACAAATGCGATTTCCTTTTTTGGGTTTGTACCACTCGCAAAAATAAGTATTTCGCCCTGGCGCACCCATATTGGGTACTTACTGTATCACATGATCTGTCGATATGCTGATTGGCTATTACAATCAATCTTCATAAGTGCTTCCTCCAAGCATATTTGTTGTAGTTTCTTTCTCTATATAAGTGCCATCATTTGACCAATAATATAAAAAATAATTTGATAATTTCGATTATATTTTTTTTTCTATCATAAATGCATGGCTTTATACACCGGCATCACGTAATCCCGATATGAACCTGATTTGAAATAGATATTTGGCGGAAATAGGAGACCATTAGAATACAAATCGGGTTCATATAGGCGTTAAATACGTATCTGGATGCGATAGCTCAATTGGTAAATCGATAAAGCTTGCCTCATGGCTTTATCAATTTATCTATAGAGCTATCGGCATCCCGATATGTATTGAACGCCTATATGAACCCGATTTGTATTCTAATGATCTCCTATTTCCGCCAAATATTTGTTTCAAATCAGGTTCATATCGGGATTACGTGATGCCGGTTGGAGCCCGATTTGCCTTCATTCGACCTGTGATAAGGCACTTATAAAAGGTTGACTATATATATTTTGAAAATTAGGCAAATAAAAATTTTATATTTTTATGTTGTAAAGATCTTTATATTTACAATATTTTGAACATTTCATATAAATAAATTATCTTTTTATTAAATATATTTGTCAATTTTCTTCTAGACATAGTTACGGTTATGTAGATTTTACAAATTTTATTATACAGTATATAAAACTTATATAGGGGACGCCCTAGGCACAATAAGAGGGCATGCCTGGTCAAAGGCATGCCCGTGCTCACAACCCTAGTATTGTCTGATGAATTTTTTATTTTAAAGATATATCGCCTATCGAGATCAGTATAAATAAAGGGCCAATAGTCAAAATTAGCTGAGTTGTATTACCATATGGGGTTGTTGTCTAGCAAAACCATGCTTAGAACATATAAAATACATATACTCTAAGCATAGTTTTTAATAGTTATCAAATTCACTAAGTCTTGTTGAGATAACTGTTGAACCTCCCGAACCGATTCTGTCAAAATCGATAACCGGTCAAATCCGATAAAATAAATCTAATAGTTTATAATGTTTTCAAAAATCTGTCCACTATGCATATCAGTTTTGGGAGGTTTAACAGTATTTCGTACAGTTTATTGATAATCATCAATCTCTATTTTTGTTTATTCATCATTGAATTGTTATGTCTGGATTATGCCTAACATCGTACTTCATTCGTGTTATCTTCATTATAATGCATAGTAGTTACTTCACCTTATTTATACGATATTAAGATTTAAATATATATATTTTTGCTTACCGATTAATTAAAGAGAATAAATAGCAAAGATTCATAAAGTTGAATAGTTTATTTGAATATTTAGATTAAGAAATATTCCTTTCGAATAACTTATTTCAAATACTTAATTGTTAATTCGTCTAAGATGGATAGTATTTTATACGCGCAAATTACTATTTAATTAAATTATTATAATTATGAAATCTTCATTTCCTCAATAGCTAACTATTTTTTATTAAGCTGATATAATTCAATTTTCTAGCAAAAAATGTAGAGAACCCATTTTTACATATAGTGTAAAAAATTTATTAAAATTGGTTTGTATTATATAGAATTTCTCTTAATAAATGAGGAAAAAAACTTTCAAACCTATATAAAAGCAGTAAATTGCGCTATGGTTACTATATAATAATACCATCGTTCTTATGTGGATTGCCAATTAATAGTTATTCTTTACACTCATAATCTAAATGAATTATGAATAGTAAATATACTGTATATGAAGTTGACTAATTATTTTTAAATATATATACTTGATTAAAAATACTTTATATGGTGCAAGAAGACATGTTTCAATTTTTTAAATAATTATAATTTTTTATACAAATGGTTTTTAAAAAAACTGACCGGCAACTTTGTATAAAGATTGCTATTGTTTTATATATAATTAATATCTATACAGAAACTTAAATCTCTTAATACTCAGTAAATACATAGTAACTATTGTTACTACATATTAAGATATTTAGGTTTCTGTAAAGATATGTTTCAATTTTAAATAAACTTTAAAGTAAAGACAACGTTTTAAAAATCTGATCGGGTAACTTTGTTCTTTATAATAAGCTCTACAAACTTGCCAAATAGCTTTTAAAATATTGTTTCTATAAAAAGCAGATGCGTTTTAAAGTTATACTATTTTTTTTTTGTCTTCTAGCACATACCATATATTTCCCACCTAAAACAGGTGATTAATTTCCAAGCATTTTGTAAAGTCTGTTAGTGATTCTTCATATCTGCCTATTATGCTGTAAATTGTTCCACAGACCGTTAATGCTAATATATTATTTGTTTCTATTTCTAAGGATTTTTTAAATTTGTTAACGATTCTTCATATCTGTACATTATGTGATAAGTTTGTCTACGATTTATTAATGCTTCTGCATTATTTGGATCAATTTCTAGCAAATAATTCAACTCTATGAGTGATTTTGGTAAGACTCTTACATCGGGAGAAATTTTTTAGTGCTGTTCTGTGCAGATTTGCAAAAAAATTAAATAATAAATTAAATGAAAATCTGTGCAAAACTTCAGACTCACTAGCTATAGCTACAGAAATTAAAATACAGTTCTGCGCAAAATTTCAAAATATAAAAAATTTTGCAGTTTTTTGCAAAAAATTCTGCAAAAATCTGCATTTTCGCAGGTTTTTGCAGATTTGCACTTATTTAATTCTCCCGATGTGCAAATTTATTATTTAAATTAATTTTCAATGATTATTTAAATTTTCAGATTTGTTATTTCAAAACTATGTGATAAAGGTTTGGAATCAATGTGCGTATTTTTTTGCACAATAAGTGAATCATTTGTCGGTTGAATGGTCAAGCCTAATCCTAAAATATTTTGACTAATTATTATAAGAGTTTGCAAAGTTTCAAGTTTCTAAGAAATGTTAATCACATTTTGATTGTTATTGCAGTATTACTTGTAGAACACTGCATACAGTACCTAGGGTGGAACATCAACTATGTAATCAAAACTATATTAGATACATTGATCAATTTACTATGATCAAATTTTTATTAGCGAAATTATTTTATTATTGTTTAATTATAAAAAAAGAGCAAAATTCTAAAAGATTCACGTGAATATCGTACTTATTTTTCGAGTTTCTTTTGAATGAGAAACGTCTTTTAGAACCATTTCGAAGGTTCTATATTTAATTTTTTGCGATAGCTCTTAATAAGTTTCAACTTATGGTTCCAAGAGTCTTCTTTTTTATTTTAATTAACAAAATTTAACATTTTCTATAAGATGAACGTACAAAACTAATATATTGATGGAAGATTTTAAAATATAGCTTTGTTCTTTAGCATTTTATAAACAATTCGTGAAAATTTCAAGGTAATTCGATACTTCGACAAGAAGTTGAATCCTTTTGCAATTTTAATATTAATAGATATTAATTAATTAATTACAGACAATCGTAATAATAGTGCTATTCATGCAACATAAAAATTTGTGATATAAAAATGTCGTAGTTATCTAACATATTTTTGATAGCTTACTTGATGTTCCACCCTAATACAGTAAATAATTTAGATCAATTTTAGATCAATTTTTTAAAATATTAATTATAATTTTTCACTATTTAAACAATCGTGACACTCCGGATACTGTATGCATAGGGATGGTAAAAAAACGTTTTAAAACGTTTTTTGTATGTTTTTAATTGTTTTAATAAAAGTTTTAAAACATCGAAGCTGATATTAAAATTTAAAGTGACACTTAGTCGGAGTTTAAAACTCCGATCAAGCCCCGAAAATTTGAGGTAACACAAATTCGGAAGTCAAATTTTCGCGACACTTGGTCGGAGTTTAAAAATAAATTATTGCACTTTGACCGGTAAATTTTGATTAAAAAACATTTTAAAACATTTTAAACAATTAAAAATCAAACAATCGAGTTTTTTAAGATCGTGTTTTAAAACATTTGCCACCCTATGTATGCAGGGCTTCATGAGTAGTCATATATTTTCTTTTTCTTTTATTTGGGCATTATAAAATAATTTCACGATTTATTTATTTATTTTATATTGAAAATCGAAATACAGAAATATTTGAATGAAGAGTCGCCATTATATTATATAAGACAAAAGAAAATATAAAAATACTGTATTATAGCCATGACTTACGAAGTCTTATGAATGACCTGAATACTTGGTTTATTAGAAAATTAAATCATTGATTATTCGAAATGTATAGTCGTTTTAGCCATAATACTGTAATTTAAGAAACGAAGTAATATATCGGAGATTCATTGATTTTTGGGGCGATATAGGACAATTGCCCTGCTAAATAATTTATATCTGATATAGAAGTATAATTTTATTTACAATATATATAGATATATTAAGTTATCTAAAATGAATTCCTTAATGTGATTGGTCAATAGTCATATATAAATCGACATAACTGATAAATTGACCAATTCATAGATGTTACTTGAACATCATTGCTTAACTGCTTAACTGTTTAACGTTAGGCGAAATCAAAAATCTGGAAATTATCCGTACTTGGAAAAAATTTAAACGGTAAATATCGATATGGTAATTAGCATCGTGTAATGTCGTTATTCATAAATTAAGTCACGTTTTAAAGCCCGAGCTTTTTTAATAATAATATTAAACTTTTTCTAAAATAATAGTATCGGTATGGGACGTTTTACACCATCACCATCTGTCTTCAATACAACTAGTGAAATAGATGAATACGTTTCGCAAACCTTTGGTACTGACATATCACCAGATCGCATTCAATACTCATGGTTTTCAATCGCAAATTTGTACTTTAAGGTTGGGGATTATTCCAAGACCGAAAAATACCTACTTGAACTTTTGCGATTACGATCTTACGATTACGAGGTAAAAAGTTTGTTTCCAATTTGGCGTTTATGTTTATTAAAACTTGTAATAACCCGAGAATACTTAGGCAAACGACCTACTTGGTACCGTTTACAGAAGGCAAGGCAAGCTAGAGGCCGCTTTAGTTTTTTATGAAAGGTAAAGTTAACCATGATTACTGCTATTTTTCTACTTGACAGTTTACTTATTTACTTTTTTGTTTAGAGCTTTGTGTGGCGATAATGCTCCCCAACATCGTGCACTAGACGGTAATTTTATCCAAAATAATTTTCAAGACTTTTTTTCTTTTTTAGTAAATTAGTATATAATTAATTTTCTTCTTATATAAATATAAAGCGGCTGAACTCTGCATACAGTTAGCAAGAAAAGCGAAAGATGAAATTGAAGTAAAAAAATTTACTGATAAGTCTTTATTTTGGATTGAAAGGTTTGTCGTTTATTTATTTATAATTTATAATTTATATACATCACATTATTTACATATAAATATTTATAAAATAGAGCTCGTCAAGTGAATAAAAAATACATTCCTCGAGCTGTACAACTATTGCATCAAACATATGTAATTATAGTTCGATATGCAGAAAGACAATCTGATAGGCGTGGTTGCTTAAAACATCGTGATGGAAGTACACCAGGTACATTATTATACCTTAAAAGACTTAGTTTTTTTTTTTCATTATCCAATTAATTTGTTGACAATGGAAATTTACTTAGTGACTAGCATTCAGTGGATTGATGATACAGTAAAAAACTTGTTAACAGTTGAAGATACTTTTATCGACCCTGCATTTCATATCATTCTTTCTAAAGCATTATTGAAACAGCTTGATCATCAACGGTAAAGTTTGCAACGGATATATAAAACGTTTGAGAAATTAACAAGATAATTGAGACATACATTCATATATATTTTAAGTGTATGGAAACATGTGTTACAACGGCGTTATAACTTCGCTGATAGTTTAGAGTGGAATCTCTTTGTCAAGACTAATTTTCCAAAACTAAGAAAATTAGCCATTATTGACAGTGCAAAGGAACTATTACACGAATCAACAGAGTTAATATTTTTCGCTTGTGATAATGTTACCAGGCTATCATTAAAATTAAAGTAGGTATAATTTATTATATTAGATCACTTTTAATAAATGTTTAATTTCAACTAAATTCAGTAGCATTCATCTAGACCACGAGACGAATCAGGTAAACTTGTGAAGGAATTTTCGGATTTTATAAAGACGTGGGATACATCTCCATCTCAAAATCATCAAGTAGTTGAAAAATTGACCCGTTATCGACAGGTTTTATTTTTAATTTATACAATTTCTAACAGAAAATAACAGAAATATAAATTATTATAATTTTAATTTTATAATTGATTAGGAATATCAATCTCGAAGTTTACGGCACGATGGATATTTCCAACTTAAACTTGCATCTTCTGACCTAAGTCAGTTCAAACTTTTAACTTCTAGGATAACACAAAAAAATCAAGAACATCTTTGTGCTGCCTATCTAAAATTCAAAACATGTTTAAATTTTCGTCGTGAGACTTTTCGTGACTCTAATCGTCCCATTACCCATTTTATTTATCTAATGTGTCAACGATTAAGTGATGTTTCTCATCAATTATTGGTTCTACTACATTGTTTTGATTATGATTGGTTGAATAAAAGTGATTCCACAACGCATGTATTCTCCCAATATGAAGATGATGTCAAACAAAATTTTGTTTTACCTAGTTATGATGGTCTCCTTTTGGTGTTGGAACAAAATGTTGGTAACAATCGGCTGACAGAATTAAGTACTCTGAAATGGTTCGTTCGAATGGCAAATCAGATTGATAAGATAGCATTCTGTGCCCCATATGATTTAGATCGGTAAGGATTTTACACCAAAAAAAAAATACATATTTGTACATATTTAAGTAATATGAGCTTATATATTTAATATTTTTTTAATACAGTTTTTTGGCTGTTTCTGCTTGGTATATGGAAAGTGGTGTATTACGAGAATGGTTACGATATATCTTTCCGAGATTACAAAATTATTCTGAGGTCTATAATTATGTGTATATTATATTTTATTGGTTTTTATTAATATTAACGAGCGTAATTATCTATTAGATTCCAGAACCCGAAGAACACCATGATACACCATCGTCAATTCAAACTTTATCATCATTATTTGCAAATAAACTGAATCTGGATCAAATGGGAACTGGATTGGCTGGCTTTTTGTCAAAACAAGAAAAAATAAAAAAGAATTTAATAATTGAGATACCAACTTTGACAGACATTGAACTTTTTCTTCTAATTCTACTTATCCAAAGGCATTACCATTGTGTTGTAAATCAAGGGGCGGAATCTTTAGGTCAGATATTATATTTATCATCACAGGAATGTTGGAAATCACGTGAAAGTCAAGTAAAATTTTGGCGAACATTGTTATCGTGGTATGGCAAGGTATGTCAATATACACACATATATATTATCAAAAAATTATTTATTATTAATTTATTTGAGCTGAAAAAGATTTGGTTTTTTTACTGATAGATTGATCCAGATAAAAGAATATATCCAAGTGATTTAATGTCTAATGAAGAGTTCTCTCAATGTATCAAAGAGATTAGAGGTGATATCAACCTAAATGATGATGACTATAATGATCAGATTGAGGTGGAAAACCAACATCGTTTTTTTATATTATGATATTATTATATAGATTTGATTTGAGAATCAGGATTTCTACTTCATTTGAGATAATAATCAAAATTCAAATACGTATCCCATTTTTAGTTAACGTTAATAGTGTCAAATTCAAAAGCCATTCAAATTTGTTAAATCTTAATAAAATTTTGTTTCACATTTTCAAATTAAGTGATTTAACGATTTGACAGGATATATTGAATAAAAGTGTTATGTTAAGTCTAATAATTGTACCAAATATGTACACATTAAGTGACAAACCATTATAAAATTTAATAGTTTTTAGAAAAGTAAAAATCTAATAAAAATTAATGTCCTATCAGTTATATGGTCCTCCATCCTCGTTGATTAATCCTTAACTGTTAATTGCTGACTGATAAATGATAATCTGTGATGTGGAAAGAATCATAATCAAATTCCAAATTTCGAACTACAATCAGAAGCTATTGAAATTACTCCGTAGGGTAAATGAATTAAAAGAAATACTATAGCATACTATAGTATTCTTAGTAAATTAATACAGAAACTTATGAAATAAATGTATTCATTTTTATTATATATTATTTTATTACATAAATTACTTTAAAATTTAAGCAAAATTAGGCCGAGAAAATTTAATTTATTGGTTTCATAACACGAAACTTTTAATAAACTTACATCCGGTTATCAAAAAATAAAAATTTTTTTTTGCTTGGCCTTATCGTTATGTGTTCCAATCCGGATAATCCGTCATCTATTTATCCGTATCCGTATCCGGATAATCCAAAATCGCATAACGATAATTATCCGGATATCAATAGTAAACGTAAACGGATATACCGATGGATATTCTGTGTATGTGGTTTAATATGATGAATTTTTTAACCAATTTCTGTGCGATTCTGTGCAGTTATGTGATGTCATTCTGTAATTTCTGTGGTTTGATGCGTTATCTAAACATATAACTCCGGCAAACATGAAATGGAACCCTTTTAATACGTAAAAGAACTGTATGGATCTCGACTTATTGGTTTTTTTTGGAAGACTTTGACTTTTATTTATAGCTATGAACATTAGGTCATCTGTGTTTCGTGTGAATTTTACCAGGAGTAATTTCAGTTTCGCACTATAAAACTGCAACTTCTTCGCCCAATTTGATCCATAAATGGTTTACTAAAATGGGTTTTCCGAAACACTAATATAAGTAAGAGAACACTTTATACATGAATGCCGGCAAGGTCCGGCAATTATGGTTTATTATTGCCGGTTCGAGGTTTTCCCTTGCCAGCACTCATATATAATATGAACCGGATATGGATGAATAACGTTTTCATACTGATAAACCTTAAAAATTAGATTGGTACGTACTTACGTATGGAAGCTCAATCAGCAGCCGGCTTAGCCAGCTAAGCCAACCGATAAAAACCTTATGGCTTGTAACACTAGCTTATTTGTTAATACTAAAACTTGAAGCTGGTGCAAATGTTTATTAATTCTAAAGTGCATATATATTTACGGAGGTCAGGGTCAATTGTGAAATTTTGATTAACCCAGATTAATCGACCAAAGGAAAAAAAAGAAAAACGCCTTGGGACATTACCAAAAAAAAAAGACCGCTTTAGACGTCCATTATAACCTATCCTCATATTGGTAAAATCCTAAGCTCAGAAAATATCATAATATTATGCCAATGAAATAAATACACGTGACTTTTTAGTGACGCATCTGCTTTTATTTACCTCGATTTTATTAAAAGTACTGCATCGTGATTTTTCCGTGCATATATATTTTAATACATTGTTTCTATAACATTCACCCATATCTACTCCAATCTACCTGCATGTAATAATGATAATATTTACTTTGAATTTTCCCTTATGAGAAGTGGTTACTTCAACATTGTCAATATAATTATTGAAAATTATGCAAATGTTGAGAAAAGAAAGCCCACCAAGTATTTTACAAGAAATTCGTTATGTGGTTCAAAAACTTATAAATAATAAGAACGTAAGTATATCAAGAACAAAAATTTAGATAGATGAGGTTTTACAAAGGTCGAAATTAAAAATATTATAAACAATCAGCCTAATATCAAATAAGTTAATATTAGGTTGATAGTTTATAGTATTTTTAATTTCCAGAATCTTGTACCTATAAGATTTATCTAATAGGATATTTATTCTTACAAGAACTGAAATGGGTCTTTTATTGAATTCGTTCTAGTTGATATCATGGAACTTACTAATATAAGTTTTTAATAAAGGCCTTATGGTTCTAGAGAAGGAATTTAATATATCTTTCTTTATATCAACAAAAATTTAAATCGTCAGAATATTCCTACATCCACCATCTAATCTTATTTTTGTCTAATTGTACTTACTTTGAAATATAGTATTTCTCATTCGATTTTGCGGTTGATGATAATAAAATACAAAGTTTGTAAACAAGTAACATCAGCATTGCCATTACCACCAGCACCAGTATCAACATCAACACCACTATCGTTACTGGTACTACCATTGTCATCAATACCAACATCATCAACGCCATCATCATCTTATTAAAGTTCTTCGGATATGATAGACTCTTTGCCAATAAGGCGGACAATTGGAAGATGATTGCGTGAAAGAATTCCAACTTAGAGCATATAAAGATGCGATTGAATGGATTCCATTTAATAGATTATCTGATGTTAAAGAAATCGGTAAAGGAGGATTTGGCTCTGTATATTCAGTAACCTGGTTGGATAGCTTACAAAAAGTTGATGGTGATAACTACTGTCGCGTTCGTAAGCTAAAAAGTGACTACAAGTCAAAGACAAGATACCAACGTCTCGATACGAAGGTATTGATTACAGTGTTTTATAAGAATACTCTTTTCCAAACAAAGGTACTTCCTCATGTGCCCCTACTACGCACATAAGAGTCGTAACCAAGTTACGTCCTTTTATAAGCGAAAAGGTTCCTGATATACTTAACATTCGACTCTAGATTAATTACATCATAATTAATCATACGATACTTAACTTTTACTTCAATTACATAATTAATTAAGCAATAAAGAAATCGTTGACGTCGTTGATGATAAAGATAAAGAAATCGTTGACGATGTGTTCAAAAAAATGAAAAAACAATACAAACCCGAATCAGGCCATTCGTGCAAATTTTGATAACGCCATAGATCTTGGCCGTGACAACTATCTGCGAAATATTTAAGATGTATAAATCCGGGCATTTGATAGCAACGTCACGAACATTTCAGAATAAATTATAATTGGCTCGTAAAGGTGTAACCTCGTAGGAGATTATCCGAAAATTGAGGGACCATGGTAAGGATGTTACATGAAAATAATAAAGCAAGATAATATTTCAATTGAAGTGTTCGAAATTATCATCAAGTAAGTATTAATAATATATGTAATATATGATATTTAAATTAGTTTGTATAAAAAAATTAATTCGTTTTTTTTTTTTTTTATTTACACTTTCTTTTTTTAAACAAAAAGTTTATAATCTAAGAGGTGGTAAACAAGTTGGACTCAATTTAGAACAAAGATAAATTCAATGTTCACGATCCTGTATTTTTTGATAAAATTCGGTATATGATTTGCTACGCTGCAGCAGGATCAAGTATTGGATTTTATGCAATTGATGGTTAGAAGGAGCTGAGAAGCTACTGATCGCACTTACAAATTCACAAGAATTGAGAAACTTGAAAGCCAGGGTCAAGTTCTTAGAAAACAACTGGATTTCTTAAATAATGTGGGCAAAGACGACGTAAAGGAATGTTGTATTAAGTTAAGCTCTCCGTCTTTTTTACTTGAATACCATTATATATATCTTTCAAGTAGAATCGATAATATTGTAAATGAAAGGGTTATATGTGGTTATTATTATATATTGCGTTCTGGTAAAAATGAAGAGTGATAATTCTAATCTTGTAGCTATAATAGAACTTTTTAGCAACAATATTAATATTAGAATTAAATAGTTATTTTTATAAGTTATTTAAGTATGCTGAGCAACTTTCAAATTGTACTCATTATTTTTGTCAGTATTGAAATCAATCTTTTCTATTATATAATTATAAGATATTAGGCCATATAAAGTTAATTTTTTGGTTCTCATAACATAAAACAAAAAAAAATGACCCGCCCACCCGGACTTTTATTTAAAAACTTTTAAAAATTTCTAAATTATAAAATTAAAATTTTATTTTATAAAGCTATGACCCGGGAATACATAATAGAAATTTTATATCGATAATGGTAAGAATTCCTGTTTTATTTTGGGCTAAGCTGGTTTTGTATATAAAAAAATAAAACCGGCTCCAACTAGGTATGAGGCTATTATTAAATATATATAAATTATTATATATGTATTATTACCCGTTTATTATTATAGACAAATTATTAGTTTATTACTCGTTTTATTGCATAAAAGCTACCTCTAAACTAGAGATGCGATCTGTTATCTGTTATCCATTTTCCTAATTAAAATTTAACGGATATCCGGATATCTGGATTCTTTATTATAAAATTAAATTAGAGGATATCCAGATCGCATCTCTAAATCTAAACAAATATTCAAACCTGTCTATTATTAGAACTAGTGATGCTGTAAGTAAATCTCTGTGTATTAGCGTAATTGATCTTGGTTCAGATAAATATGAACTTTCCGAAAATGATTATGACGCTCTTGTAGTATGTATATATATATGAAAGCCTGATTTATAAAAAACAATAATAATAATGATTATATTTAATAGGGACAAAATGCCGGACGCCCATATAAATTTGCACTAGCATCTACAGAATTAGTAACACACGACCAATGGGTAGAGCAGAACCACGTTAAAGAACTAGTAGCAAAAGGCATCACGGATGTTTTATTGCAAGAAATAAAAACCGATATACTTCGTCAGGTTTATAAAGGTTCAGTGCTGCTATGTACTGCTTACCCATTGGATATGAAATTGAGGTGACCAGAGGTGAACGCCAAAGCATAGCGAGTAAAAATCGCAAAGTAAAACAGTCGGAAGATGCAAGAGGTGATAAGCCTGATTTAATGATCCGGGCATTCCTCAAACAAAAATGGAATGAGGTTGTATATTTTGAAAGCGGAAAATGGACATCTACAAATAAGAAGAAATGAGATGATCATAATAAATTAGTTCAATTATGCTTAGATGGTTATAAAGAGATCAAGAAAAAATGCGCGAAACAGCTTCTCCATAAGAGCTATATTGTATTTGGTGTCAATATAACAGGAGAATATATTGTTATACATGGACTAGTATGGGAAAAGACGTTAGATATTATCTCCTATTGCAAGAGCGAAGATTCCTTTTAATGACAAGCCAACCAAAGAGGTGGAGGAATTTATTCATTCTCTGATGGTTTTATGAGTAGGTTACCTTTTTTTAGTAGAAATAACAAGTCGATAAATTATTAATTAAGGAATTTCAATTTATAGAATGGGTTGATTGTGAATTTACAGAATTTAATTAACAGTTTCCAAACAAGAAAGTAATATAAAGTCCTTTGTGCAAAGGTGGAAGACTAAAGAAAATAGTATACAGTTTAGAATATGGCAATATCATGTTTGTTTTTTTTTTCTTTTTCAATAAAGCTGGCTCTGGTGGCTCGATCTCGTATATATGTGCCATATACATTATGCAAGCGATGTTGCTAGTGTTTTGATTCTAATTTTTAAGGTCCATTCGGATCCTCTTTGGTGTATCCGGATAACAATCCGAATTTTGGTAAATCCGATTTCAATTATTAAATCCGGATTCTATCTATGGTTTGCATGTTTTATTAGATTACCCATAGCTTTGCTAAGACTATTTTACATGTAAGTGATGCCAGATAATCTTTATTTAATAGAAGTTATCTTTAATTGCATGATTAGAATTAAATGATTAAACGCTTAAGAGCTTCTACGGGGTTTTGTACTAAGTAATAATTCTTATAGTTTTTTTTAATAACAATTATATTATTATTTAGTTTTGGCAGATGAATATAAATATTTTTTTATTAATCTGAGCAATTAATATAAACAACTAAATCATAAATAGTTATATTGTTATAAATACCTTCACATTTATCATTAGCATAAGTTCATTATTAATTAATAGGGTTGATATAATCTAAAGAAATTTTTTATTATAACTGGGTGAGAATTATTTATGATTGATATATAAAATATAAAGCATGATGCAGCATAATAATGCGATGCAATGATTTTTCTTTCATTAAGTTTCAACATTTACATCTCTTTAATCCAATTCTAGCTAATGTACTTAACATCGAAGTCTATCAGCTGTGACCAATTACAAAGATTTCTAGTATTCTTTTTATCCATAATCCATTATAAATTAGGATCCATCCATTAAAAATTAATGGATACAGATATGGATATCCACATTTAATCTGAATTATTGGATCCATTTGAATTGGTTGGATTATAGATCGAAGTACTACTATATATATTTAAATTGTTGATATTACATAATTGAACAATAATTATATATTAGCTAATAAATTACAAGCAAAATATGTATATAGTCTTTTATATCAGGCTATTTAGTCATTTCAAATATAAATAACTAAATAACCAATAACCAATTCATTTGGTTATTTGTTATTTGAAGTGTTATTGGGTATTTTTAGTTAGTTTGAATTTTTATTTTTAGTACTAGGTTTAAAATATAAAGCCTTTTTCAATGATATAAAAAGTTTTTATTAGGTTTAATAAAGATAAAAGTATAATCTCATCTTTAATAATAAAAAAAAATAGGTAAGCATAGCCTACTGCTGATTCAGAGGAAAATCCCCTAGCAAGTTAGGGCCAAAGAGGAGGTAAATCTGTGGCTAGATGGTTACACTTGGGCATTTTAGAGCAGCCGAGTGAAGCTTTATGCACGAATGGGAGGTGCAGTGTGCAGTAGTCTGGGAACTGTAGCACCATAGAGTGAGGGACCCAGGATATATAGAAATGTATATACTAGATTACTATTACTATACTACTTTGTAATTACTTAACTATTCAGATGTAATAAAGTGGTTACTGTTGAAAAAAAAAAAATAATGAAAAAAATTATATATATTATATATATATAAGGCCATACAAATTTGATTACTTGGTTTTCATAACATGAAACTTTTAAATAGACCCGGCCAGCTGGCTTTTTTTTTTAAATTTCATATATAAAATTTTACAAAATTTATATTAATTTTTTTTTTAAAACCCACCCGGTTATTAAAACATATAAAAATTTTTTTTTTGAAATTTTCAAATTTTGACCCGGCCGGGTTATGAAAACCATTTAATTAATTTTGCATGGCCTAATATAAAGCATTTGGTTAATTTTTACTTTTCTAGAATATTATATAATATCTGTTATAAGGTTAAGTTAATAAAAAAGAAACATATTATTTTTAGTAAATTTTTTTAAAATTTTAAATTAGAATATCTCAACAACTATTTAATTAAATCTGCTAAAAAATTTTTATTTTTATCTTGATATTATATAAAATTAAAATGAAAAAATTTATTAAATTTAATAAGATAATTACTATTACTTAATTTGTAATACAGGCATATTTGCTTTAAAATTTTTAATTTTTTTAATAAAATCTTAAATATTAATTTTAGCAATACTTTTCAAGTAAAATATTTAATTTTTTTTTTTAAACATTAAAGTGAGTACTTAGACTCGAAATGCTTTATTAATATTTAATATATGTTACACTTATTATCATGTTATATATTGTTACTAACTAATCTTTTCATTCTTGGTCCTAAGGTTTTAGCCTCTAATACCCAGTACTTTCTCCAGCACTGGGGCATTTAACCCTGCATTAAACCCACTGGAGTGGTATATATCCTACATATATATACTTTTAATAACTGATACTATGGCTTAATCCATATACTTGGGGTTAGAGCTAACTATTAAACTTCTGTTTGTTACTTACTAATGCCCTTGTAGGTTTAATATTTGGACCCAGTACTACATTCTAGCTTCCATCCTTCCACAATCCTTACTGGTCTCTCTTATATTGCTAATAATATTAAAATTACCAAGATTATGAACAAGAGTATCATTGTAATGATGATAAGCTTAGCTAAATTAAAAGATATTAACATCAGTTTAGTAAAGGTAAAAGATTATAGTGAGGTTAGATTAAATAAGATAGCTAACAAGCTAGCAAAAAAGAAAAATAAAATGAAAACCTGTTATAGTTTTAGAGTAGAATGATTTAAAATATTAAAGATAATTCTAAGATAAGATAGCCATATCATTGATATTCTAATTAGAAAAATAATAGATATTATTGTATAGCCATATTATTGATAACTGTACTAAAAATTTTTATATTTGTACAGTTTACTAGAGATTGAAACCATTATTCGTTTAACTGCATTAATCATCTATTTTTATTAAACAATTAAACAAGTTAATAATTTTATAAATAGTTAAAAACTACTATATTTATTTAAGTAGAACTATGTTCATCCCAGACAAACAAATGAGTACATATTATATGATAGCATTTTATATCAGTACTCATTGAATGCGTGCTAGATTGATAACATAATAATCTGCAAAACAATAATTTTTAATAAGGATAGTCAAGATTTGTAATGAACTAAGGCTAGGTTTTATTTTTGAAGTATTTGGTACTTTATTGATATGAATTAAACAATTAAATAATTAAGTAAATAGTTAAACAAAACAATTAAATATAATTAATCATATAACTTATTATTAAACAACATGATTAAATAGTTAACAAATTTTTTGTAATTCCAATCTCTACAGTTTATGTCATACTGATTTATCTTTTTTTTTTATAGCTTAAAATTTTGTCCCTAAAAAAAAAAAAAAAAAGATACAAAGAAAAGAAAAGTTTAAATTTGATGACGTAAATTATATGAAAGTGAAAAAATAGTATAGTCATTAATAACTGCTTCACAATAATACTGCTATTGGATAGGGTTAAAATATGCATGTGGGTATTAAATAGTAACAGGTGATTGGCTTAGATCATGCTGCTTTGTGGCACAATCTATGCCAATCACCTGTCACCATTTAATACCCATGTGTATATTTTTTAAACTCTATCCAATAACTATAAAGTATAACAAAGATATATTACATCAGGAGAATTAAATAAGTACAAATTTGCAAAAACCTGTGAAAATATAGATTTTTGCAGAATTTTTTGCAAAAAACTGCAAAATTTTTCATATATTAAAATTTTGTAGAACTGTATTTAATTTCTGTAGCTATAGCTAGTGAGTCTGAAGTTTTGCACAGATTTTCATTTAATTTATTATTTAATTTTTTTGCAAATCTGCACAGAATAGCACTAAAAATTTTCCCCAATGTATAGTATAAAATAGTTAAATAGTAGTATATTAAATAACTTATTTGTTGTTCTCTATATAAACCAGATATAGACAACTTTATTAATAAAAGTAAAAATCTTTTCTATCAAGATTTTTGTATAAAGACACACTTTTCTGCTAGTTATCTTGTACAAAAATACTTCTGGCTTGCATGCTAAATCAGGGATTTTATTTAGTATAAGTAGGAATATATAAATATTATAAGATTATTTAATATAAAAAAACTCTAACCCTAATCTAAAGCTAACTAAAAACTATATTATGACTCTTACCCTAACCCTAACTATTCTCAAATCTGTTTAGATTAGTTCAAATAATTGTTTTTATATTAAATAATCTTATATTATTTATATATTTCCACTTATACTAAAAATTAGTAATATTTACTAGAAGTTTGAAATTTTATTAGATATCTAAATTCTTCTAGATTTCTAGTAGTTCCAATAAGAATTCCTATTGGAAGAAACTTTTCTAATAAAATCTATATTATTATCTAATAAAAATATATAAATACAAATAATACTAACTAATAAAAATATATATATTTTTATATAATTATTAATAAATATATATAATAATTAGGAATATTAAAAAATAACAATCAATAAAAATAAAGCAAAATGACATTTTTTAAAAATCAAATATTTTAGATTATCTTAATGATTTAATATTTAAAAGAAGTAGTAGCACTCCTAGTAATATCTAAAGAAAAAAAAGTGGAGATAAGAACAAATAGTAGTGCAGTGATCTTTGCAATCAAAAAAAAGCTTGAAGCAAATAAAGCAAGATAATGGTTTAAAATTAAAAATGCTAGTTTGATTACAACAATTGTAGAAACAGTCAAAACAAAGCAACTAACTCTTATTTTACAAAAATTAAGGGTCATTCAGAAAATATTTTTAATAATTTGACAGATTTCAAAGCCAAAGAAGATGTATTTTTTACAGAACTCCTAATGCCTATAGTATTAAATACAAGAGAATTTAAGCTAAAGTATAAGTGGAAAAATGAAATTGTAGAAAAGCCAATATATTCTTTCATCAAAATGATGAATAAAGTTATAAATAAAGTAGAATAGACTTTATATATAATAGTCAAAACACAACATATCAAGAAAGAATAACTTTACAGTATTGGTCAATTTTCTACAAACTACTTGAAAGTAGAATCAAGCAGCAAAACCATATATACAAAACAAATTTAATGCAGCTCTTTGAATTAAAGTGTATAAACAATGTTCTACTAGTATTAGAAAAGCTTAATAGAAAAAAACAAATTTGTATAAAACTGATAAATGTATTTATTATATGCAAGAAAAAAATAGAAAATATAGAATATTTAGTAAGCTATAAGATATCATTAAATCT